GAGGAAGAAAAACATGAGTGACAAGAAATCCAGCCTTTCTCTGAACCTCTAGCTTTAAAGCCAAAACCCAGCAATATGGTTGCCCAGCATAAGCCACCTTAATTTTCTATTATAAATTGTTGATTACGAACCTTGGAAGTATGTCTCCTTGTTCAGTAGAGAAGTATCCAAACGACCACATCCACAGAGTGTTCAAGAAGCGACAGATATGTCTCATGAAATTGTGTTCCTCGCTTCGGTAAACCCAGTACAGCAATTCACCAGCTGATATCAATACACACAGCACATATAGAACTGACCTGATAGAGTCAGCGAAGAAGATCGATGCCAGTGATGCCACTGCCGTATTGCCAAAGAACACCATAAAATGGAAAGGGTATGGTGGGGGGTTACCGTGTAGATTTTGAGGCCACATATTCATGCCATATGCCAGAAAAGCATAGATTAAGACACTTAAAATTATCATATACATCGTTGTGGAGTGAGTAATAAATGGACTTTTGTCTATTCCGTTGTTCTTCACCTGCAATAAAGCAAGCAATGTAGAAAAAATTATGCGAGTGCTTTCACGTTTGGAAGTGATTGAAAATGCTGTATGGAGGATATACAAAATCTGGAATCTAATATAGACATTGGCAGCACGAATTTGTGCCCAGGTCATGAAGTTGAGAGAAGGCATTCCCCTTGTAGTATGCACCACCGGATTTTCAAATCCTATAAGAGAAGAGAAAGGAGGAGAGAACTATTGGAAGGCAGTGACCAATCTCTTTACTGTTATCTCGAGTTTTTATACTAGACAAATTTTAGTAGAATATGTGTGGGATTTTTTACATTAAATAAAAAATAATGAAGAAAATATAACATTAGTATACCAGATGATATTGTAATTTTACCTTACCATTTTGTATTCCAAACTTTCTAGAAATGGAAGCAAGTGGAAAAAGCATTTCTCACGTTTATGAATATGTAATAACTCTGCAAAAATAGTGCTTGCTATTTTACAGGAAAACCTTTTGCGTTGAAAAGATAGTTGTTGGTTGACTAAACCTGGAATTTCAGAAAGATGTCCTACTTAATTTATTTCCTTGAAGTTACACATGAAAATTTTGAGATTTTATATGTTGTCTTGCAAATGAAGATATGATTCTTTTACAACACTGTACTATTGCTTTTCAGGAAAATATCTCGAAAATGTTTAAAGCTACGGATAAAGATAATTCTGGCACCCTAACCATAGAGGAATTCCAAGATGTAATTGAAGATGTCATCATCAGATAGCCTCAAGTGGAACTATATCTAAAGAACAAGCATCTATTTGATGTAGCTGGCTTACTAAAAGATACAGATGGTAGTGATAGGCTGGAGGTAGATATTGAAGGGTTCAAATTAGCACTATCGCATGTTGATACACAGATGAAGAGTCATCCAGCTACTGCACAAGTAAGTTTGCTTTGATTCCACTATTTCTATGTCCCATCTTGCCTCTACCAATGAAATAGTTTTGTTTAACCTCTTCTTCCCTGTCAGGTTGCAACTCAGCAAGATGCATATCTATCGAGGTGCTTTAACATATGGGAGAAACGTAAAGACAATCCAGAAGGCCCTCGTAAATTCAGAAGTGGCGGCGGCCATGAAGTTCATCCTTTTCGGTACACCTCTCTCTCTCTGCCCGCCATATTTTCAATTTGTTATTTTTCCCTAAAATTTCTTAATAACTAAACTTCCAAATAAAAAATAATCTAAAAAGATATTTTAAAATTAATGCAAGATTAGATATGAACTTTCCCCACTTATCTGAAATATTTAGCCTGCTTTCTGATTTTTATCAGTTGATGAGATTAGATTGGATATTTTACTACTGAATCATTAGAAACTTTTATTCTGAGTGTCACGTAACTTTCGGGTCCAAAATAAGCTACGACTTAGCGAAGGACTAAACCGGTTTCATTTGACTATAATGCCAGGAAATATGGTGTATAAGAAGTTCGAGAAAGATTTTCTACTTCTTCCAAGGTACAAACTGTTTAAGCAAAATAAGAGTTATTTATTA